CAGGAGAACTTCAGACCCACTGTGCCAACATTTCAATATTTCTCTCAGATATTAATGTTTACAGCCGGGGTGTCCTCCACTACAGGTTCAGGTTTGTTTTACTTTTTTCCACTTTCGCTGCTTCCTCTGACCACCCGAAGCCGTCCCTCAGGAATCAGATTTGTTAATCTAATAGCGGGATGAATCATCCAGGCATCATTTCCCAAGGTGTCCATGTTTATGAAGAACAATAAAACATGGGGGCCATTGTCTGTGAACGTGTGTGATTTTGTTCCCCTAAAATGAACTTTGCATCGAGTCTAGAAGCATCTCCTCACAAAAATACTTCTTGCTAGCCTTCTTTCTAGTGGGTACCGCATAAAAACTACATTTAAACCATACAGTCATGCAGAGAAGGCTATCAGCACAAACATTCCCTCTAACTCTAATGTACAGGTCCATAAAAAAAACTAATTTTGAGATCATCTCATTTCTGAAAATTAAGGCATTTTACACTGAAAGGGGATATTAGACTGGTACACAATGTGAGATTTGGTTAGGTTTAAGTGTTAAAAAATAACTTAGTGAAACATCTGGGTTAAAACAGAGAACCTTTGTTGTCATGGTAGCGATAATAAAGAGGCAGTTACGGTTGTGGAACAGCCATGGTTAAAAGTATTGACTGGAAAACTGTACAGTTTAGAGATACTTGTACTTTAGTTGACTCCACAACATTTCCAACACCATATCAGTCAATACAGACAACAAGCAGTATAAAAAATACAATACAACTCAGTGAGTGTGTGTCTACTCTCTAGCTTCGCCAAAAACAAAGCTCTAAGTGGAGCTGAGTGAGTTGGTCTGTTATGCTGGCAGACATGAATGTAAACACATCTGCAATATCCAAGAGCTGCTGCAGTGAATAACGAACACCTCCATTATGAATCTCTGTCGTGCTGCATTAGTTACTAAACAGTAAGTATTAATCAGGGTCTGCATTAAGTGTAGTTGTTGCTGTAAGTCCTCTAAAGTAGTTCATGTTGGATATATAATGCAAAGAGCTTTCTTAGAATAACATGATAAACAAGACAGAAAGGCATTATCTATTATTTGTCTGTTCTTGTCTTATGTACTGTTTTCAAAATTTCTAAATCAAATAAGCCCCCAGAATTGTCTAAAATACATAATAGTTTATATTTTATCAGAATTCTGCACACTTGATTCTCAAATCTATTGTTTCATTCCTTCAACCCTGACAAGCAGGTCATGGTTTTACAATGCATTCAGATCCAACGCACTTCATTGCAGTTGAGTTAAGGTCACACCACGTCATTGCGTTTGACTTTTTCGCAGAAGAGAAACGAGTGAAAATTTATGGCCTTACGCTGAAAACATTAATTTCTTAACATTTCCTAAAAAAAATGTGCGAGCTCCTTCAGATGTGGCTTAATGAAGCTTTGCGATAATGTCAGGGTGCTGTTGTTGTCCTGAGCTGCACCGAGGCGAATTCTGTTCACTGAAGGTTAAGCAAAATATTGGGAAGAATGAGGATTAGCGTAATGTTGAAGAGGTACTTTAATCCACCTCGCTGATTACCGAATCTGTGCTGAATAAATAACGTACTTAAATCAGACCTCATATGCAAGAACTGAAGGCCAGTTAATTAAAGCTGCATGTACTGTATAATAAACGAAGCCAGAGAATGGACTGAAGCGCAGAAAACATGCGGCGCTCTGCTATTGACGTTCATGTGTACAGATCAGTTTGTATTATTTAATATTTTTGTGAGCGGCGCAGCAGCATCTCACCTCCTGACTTCAGGGGCAACGCGGCAAACTAAGATCACATATTTGAAAGAGTAGGTGGAGGGTTCGGGTTATCAAATGGATACAGCCTGCAGCATTTCACTTGGGTCAGAGCACTTAACCTGCTGCCTGTATTGCATTTCACAGTATCTCTCAATAATGTAATTGAAATCATTATTTGAAAAGGTGATTTTCTCTCTTGGTGCCCCAGAGGTGTGTTCAGCATTAATTGAAGTGGATGTCTCAGGTGTCCATCATTAAATTGAGCGACGCTACCGCTACCTCAACACCTTTCAAACTGAGTGGATGTATAACGCAGCACAGAAGTTCTACTTTTCCCCCCCATCGCTTATTGTAATTTTTACTGAAAAGAGAGATTACTTTTCAAAGGTGACTGTGTGTGGTTTTATACACATATTGGCAACGCTAAGCAGCACTGAAGGCAGATGTTAGCTTTTTAGTCGGAGCAGAAGGGTGAGACAATGCACTGTGCATGACTAATGCCCTGACTATCTTTGCTCCCTTTTTTTTTTTCTTCTATCACTGCTACGAGTAACAGAGTAATCAGGACAGTTGTGAAAGTGAACCAAACATCATAGTTGAAAAGAGTAATCTCAGAGATGGCCTATACAGTGCTCGTTTCTTCTTTCACTGAATTCCATTTAATTAAAAACAGAATAATCCAGCGACATAGATAGCTGTCACCCCGTGCCTTTGTGTGCTTTTCACACTGCCTGCTCACAAGTTCCCATCATAGAAGTAGGAGCTCGGGGAGCATAACGCAGTTTGTATTCAGTCAGTGTGACAGGCGGCAAAGCAGCAATCTTGTCTGTCGAAAGACAATGATTCCACTCAGCTGCCATGTTGTGCACACAGATGTGCTATCCGACATCAGTCCTGAAATCTGTCACCTAGCAAAGTGAAATTTGAAGTCTGTGAACAAGTCAAAAAGATCCTCCGTGGATATTTGATTTTTAGTGCACACTTTGCCACGTTATACCAAGCTGGCTTGTGCCTTCTTATGTCTAAATGGTTTTCATTTCAGGTGATTTCAAAACCTCTTTTTTGAAAAAACAGTTGCAGATTTTAAATCGGATTACTTTTTCACAACTTTATGCTCCCACTGTGACTTCAAATAGGAATCTACAGTCTCAATAAAAAATAAAATAAAACAGAAGCATGACTTTCACCTCAACTTTGAACGATCTCTCAAATAAATCAAAAGAAAATTAATCGCCATATCGTTTAGTGGTTTGTTCATTATTTGAGCAACTTTTCAAGCGACTCCGAGCTTTTCAAAAATGTTTCTGCATGTCCTTGATTTCATATGACTACACCTTGAATATCTCTAGGGTTTAGACTATTTTTCAGATATACAAGTTATCTGAAATGTCATCCCTGTCACTATGATATTTTCATGGCTCCCTTTGACTGTTTTCTGTTTTAAACCATGAACTGGCACGAATACATATAGAATAGAACAGACACAATAGAGATACTATAATCAGTATGAATAAATGATGACTATAGATATACGTCATATCATTGTTTTATGATAATTATCACATATATATTACAAACTAAAACTAATCAAACAGGATTTGCACAGCCGACCTCATCTAAACTCAGCAGACGAGTCACGCAAACATCCTTTATGATCACTCCACTGCCACTGCAGTGACAGCAAGTAAAAGCACACTTGGAAAAAGTTGCATAGGTGTCTCTCTCTCTCTCTCTCTCTCTCTCTCTCACACACACACACACACACACACACACACACGCACACACACACAGCCATTGCTTTGTTCTGCATTAATAGTTGGACTGTGCTTTAGGTTTGCATTACAGTCAAGACTTTGGCTTTTTAGCCAGTGTTCTCCATGATTGAAATTCTCAGTCAGCCATCAATCTGCATTATAGACTGGTTTCCCCTTGTCTGGTGGGGGCTAACTGAAACAGATTGAGACAGCTCTTGCTCACTGCATCACTAATGGCTGGCAATGAAAGACGTCTCTGTGCAGTTGACCCGTATGTGGAACAGGATCACGTCGCAGCCCAGAGCGATGGGGACAACGCAGCTCAATATAGGGAGTCTCTTCGGCATCAGTCACCAGTCAACAGCATCCTCATCCTATTGACTAAATGTTGCCCAGAAATAGAATCTAATCACAGGGTTTGGACAGGCCCTAGTTCTCCTAATGGTTTACCATTAGCTGACTGGAAGAATGCCCAAAGTATAGAGAAATATAACAATATATTCCAGGGGGTCTGCATTGGATGGCAATAATGAGTTCTCGATTATTGCCATGGCACCTGCATGCTGCCCTGTACTTGTATACATCAGCAGAGATCAGTGGAGGTTTGTAGCGAAAATGATTACTCACTCACCTCTGCTTTGAGTCCTTCTCATTATTTTCTGTCATACAAGCCTCCATTAACCCGAGAAGAGGCCACAGAAAACAGAAGCTGAAATTTCGAGAATATGCATTTTCTCCATTCAGCTGTGTTGAATGGATAATACAGGAGTACAGCCTTATAGTGGAATAATTTCCAAGCCATTTTGCAGGCAGGCCACAACAGAGTCATTACCTGCATGGCATAATTGACAGTGAACACAGGCAATCTTGTTAATTGATTACCCAGACCTGTGCTAATGGAAAATGCAAAGCTTCATTGTACCTTCCATAAAGAGCCTGTCAGTAACATTTCCTCACAAAGACGACCAGACTCAGACCCACTAATGTTTCTAGACATTTCCCCAGGGACACCAACATCTGAAGACCACTCAGACTATTTTAATTCACTGCATAATCACCTATAAGATGATTGCCCGGCCAAATTTTCCATAGTGTCATAGCGCGTGGCACAGTGCTGATCAGAAACGCAATAAAGACCCACAAGAGAGAGAGAGCACACGTCTCCACAGAAATGTAACTCAATTAAGAATACGCCCAGTTGCTGCTTATATATTTTTTCCATCCAGGTTGAGATGAGGATGCGGGGGTTTGGGCCCCTCTCCCCTCTCGTGCAGGATTCAGCCTCCAGCTCCTCCTCTGATGCATCGTTTGCATCAGTACTTGGGAACACTTGTGCGCGCTGCTGCTGCACCTCCCCACAGCGCATTCACGGACTCCACTTTACCAGGTGATGACAGACAAGCGCTCAAGACTGAAAATGATACGTTTTTAACACGCCTGAAGTCGGAATCAACGTAGAATGGAGACGCGCCTCGGCCACTGCCTTTTTATCATTTTCTCTGAGTGGATTTGGCTCTTGACCACAACTTCCATCCTGGGCGGAACAAAAGCGGAGGTAAGGTGCATTCCCTCGTGCCAGCTACCGCTCATCGCAGCATTTCCCCGGGAACTCTCGGCGCTGGATTTGTCTAATTTTGGCGACGCACCAGCTGAAGAATTTGTTGGATATACCGAGGGGTCACCCACAGACGAGAAGCACAACGTTGCGGAATTAACCGCGAGCGAAGAAAGTTCGCACAAAGTACAGCCACGGTCAGGGGAGAATGACACAAATTGTCTGCAGAAGGACGCCGTGAACGGTCACCAAAAACTTTCCCATCCTGAAGTGTTTGCTCAAAGTGCGTCTGACCCCTCTGCCAGTAACAAAACCGAGAATGGCACCGGTGATGGAAACAGTTTTTACGCGAAAAACGGCGATGTGGTGGTAAACGAGGACGGGAATGTGGCCAGCTGGAGACGAACGCGAGGTGCGAGGAGCGCAGAGACTTGGTCCGGATTCAGACCCGAGGGCGGGGAGGACGCCTTGGTTTCGGACCAGGAGGAGTTTCAGCTCACAAGTTCGACATTTGCAGTCACCGAGGACACGGCTCACAACCAGGCGATGGTGCACTGGTCCGGACAGAACAGCAGCGTAAGTACTTCATGTGCTCCAGATTTACGCACGGACCTCTTTTGACGCATTGTGGTCAGCGTTCACTCTGAGCTCTTGTATGATGATCTGAGTCATTTAAAGATTTATTTTGACCGTGAATAACGTGATAGACATTAAAACTGAGACTTGCTTGCAGAGTTTGAGGGGAATCAATCTTGTGTTCTGTCTTGCCCTGATACCCCTCCTTTCTCTCTCTCTCTCTCTCTCTCTCTCTCTCTCTCTCTCTCTCTCTCTCTCTCACACACACACACACACACGCACGCACACGCGCACACACGCACTAACACGCAACCCATCCATGCCATTCTTTATTGATTAGCTGACTTGGCAGGTATATGGCTCAAATTTAAAGGGCAAAATAAGCAAACTTAAATGTTCTGCATGCACGAATTTAAAGGGAATTATGCTTTCTTGCATTTTGGTCTTGCATTTTTTTCACTCACATATTCACCAAAAGCTTATTCTTATGGATTTTGATCTTTTTTTGTTCACCCACTGATTTTGACAGTTTTCTACTGGCATTTATTTCGTGCCTAAATAAGATCAATTAACCCTTTTACGTTCCCAAAAATAGAAACATGACTGATGCTATCAAAGGGTAAGCTGTTAGGTTTAAATAGAATTAATAATATTTAATGTTGTACATGATGTTCAGTATATGGATGGCTGGATGTGGTGCAGTTTAGACTATAAGGAATGTGAACTTGAAGTGTCTCCTAATAAACAGAAAGGAGGGGCAAAATGAAGCACAAAATAGCATCATGATATGATGAAATGCTAAATATAAGCACATGGAGACAGATAAACATTTCAAGTTTAATGACAAGTTGAAAGCTAACGGCAATTAGCAGTGTAGCCTTAAAAAAAATCCCTCTGAGGCTTCCTGTCTAATATCCAAGGGGACTTGCCTTCTACAATTTTGGGAAGATCCAATTTTCTTATGTCTTTCTTTCATACGTCTCAGAACTTCAAACAAAGCCACAGTGGAGCAAACGTAGAGGCACTTAAAATAACAGGGAGTCTTCGATGTGAGCTGATCCCACGCCCTGTAGAGCTCCAAGCAAACAGACTTTAAAATCAATTCTAAAAGATACGTGGATACATGTCAAGTTCACCTAAAACCATAATCACTCAGTGTGCTCCTTTTCTTGTTATGGTCAAGAGTCAAGCAGCAGAGTTTGGAATCCCTACGTAGATTTTCAGCAAGATCAGTGAGATGTGCAGTAGTCTGCTTAAGATGTAAGCACGAATTTGGTTTTTGACAAAAGAATTCAGATTTGAAGGTGTAATTTGATACCATGCTCAAAGCACCAACACACTGTCATACTGTATAACGTCCAGGCTTGATCTGTGGCAGCACAGATCCAAGACTTTTGAATGGAGTATGTCTTCACCCTGGGGCTAATCAAAAGTATTTATGTCTTGTTTGTCTGAGTTTTAGAGAGCTCATCTATTGATTAAAGACTAAGAATGCGAGCCAGTTTGTAGATACCAATTGGCGGCAGAGATATGTATAATTCTGTGTCATCAGCATAGATGTGGAAGTTCGCTTTATGGATGTGTTAAAATAAGGCTTGCATGCAGACTGGCAGAGCATGGGACCAAAGCAAGCTACTTCTGCTTCATCAAAAGAAATGTATGACATATGTAGAAAGAAAAAAAAAAAGGCCCCAAAACCAAAGAGCTTAAGACAAGTCACATTTTCCGAAAACTATTTTTTCCCCAAAAGAATAGTTTGACTTTAGGGGAATCACGCTTATTTGCTTTCTTGATGAGAGTTTGACGACAAGACGTCTCTCTGTACATGTCTGTGCAGTACACATGAAGCTAAAGCCAGCAGGGGATTAGATTAATGAAGCATTAAAACTAGAAGTAGGGGAATAAAGGTAAAGTGGCTCATCCAAAAGGCAAGCAGGCCTACCAGGACCTCTGAATGTGACGTTTAATGTGTGTTGGTTTTATTGGGCGGATGGAATTATTTCTGTGCTATTTCCATTTGTTTGGATTCTTTATGCTGAGCTATAAGTTCTCTGGCTTCATATTAAGAGTGATAGTATTCCTGGATCAGCAGGTCATACAATATTTATAACGAGTCTACACATGGTTTATTTTTAAATGGTGCCAATCAACATGCATGAGTCAGTTTTACTCCTAAACCTGTTATTCAAATATACGTCTTCGATTCAAGTGGTTTTTCACCAGACTCTGGCATCATCATTTTCACAGTAACATTTCTGCTTCAAGAAATTTCCCCCCTGATGCACAGAGTCTCACCCCGCCTACTAACAATGTAATGTGTGTCTGTGTGTGTCTCCGCTTGTGCGACTTACCACACCCCGCCTCTCTCTCGATGTGTGTAATTGCAGCCAGGTGGTTATCAAGAAAAGTAGCAGCTTTTTCCAGCTGGTGTACTTTTTTTCACAATGCTATTTAAAGTAGTAATCTATTTAAAAATTAACCAAGTTTCCTTTTTCCCAATTAAACATCTTTGTACAACTGTGTTAACATTTGCTGTTCAGTCATAAGGGCTTCACTCAGCTTCCCTGGGTATGAGAAGACATTTAGCAGCAACCTTGTCTTAAAGGCTTTAATGTTTAAGTAGAAAGATAGTAGATTGGTCTACAAATACTGAAAAAAGAAGAAGTGTTTCGGGGCTGATAGATGCTTGAAGTGTTCGTGTATGTACATGTAACGTCTCCTCTGGCTTGTCAACGTGACTCAGTTTGTGTTAAACTGTTCTGACACTTCAGGCTGTTGTCACATGTTGAGTTTGTCACACATGAAATCAAATTTTCAGGCAGGCAGCAATTTCCCCCACCCCAACAAAAATTAGACATTTGTTTGTTTACAAATTCTGAAATCTGACAACTGGTTGAGTACAAGGTCCACGGGACACGAGCCAATTTGTGCAGTCTTTGAGACAAATCGTCTGAGCTTGTTATTGATTCATTTTGATATTTCGTTTTTTTTTTTTTTGTCCAATTCCAGATTTTATTTCACCATTCATTTGCTGCTGAAACTGGGTTGGTGATTTTTTTCCCCCTCTTCTTTTATCATTTGTCCAATTATCACTGTTTGAAAATTAAGCTGCAATGTCATTTCAGCTTTTCAATCAACATGAAAACCACAGAATATTATGCAAAGTAGCGTCGGGTCTATGTGCTGCCACCGCACTAATTCATGTAGTGATTGTCTGTCGCATGTAACATTTTAATCCCAAGTGTCCCCTCATTGGACTTGAACAATTTAACCGCGGCAATTAATTGGAGAGCTTCAAGGATTTGATTAGAAAAATAGTAAGAAAAGGAAAAAATGTAATAAATGGAGAAGATGTATTTGATTATTGGCTTTCTTTTGAATTCAAATGTCGCATTCATGCCACCATCGCCTTGAAAAATCCCAGTGTTGTAAACAGACAATTTCAATTAGCTCATGTTCATCAAAAGAGCCACTGGGCTTTCATGATCAACCAAGAGCACAACATATTTTAAAGCAGACAATATCTGAGGCTTAAACATCCAAAGTTCATTAGTGTGCGGTGAGGCATATTTGATTTTGTTGAGATTGCGTTCGGTTTTCTCCTTTTCAATTTGTAACTGGAACTACACTTTGAACAGTCTACGAAAAAAAATATCAAACATTCAATCTCTATTGATCAAATGTGGCAGAGATTAGGCTCACTTAAATCAGTTGTGGCAACGCTTTTTTTGGGGGGCTGTTAAGTCCACAACACGTTAGAATTAGGCTATGTGGGTGTCGTTTTAATTTAATTTGAACGAACGATGTTTCGCTTTCAATTTATTTTGACTTTATCTTTTGTGAAAAACCTGCTATGCATGTTGTCCTTGCGCTTGAGTGGCTTTTTATTCAGGTGCTCTAGTTTCCTTTCACAGTCCAGAGACGAGCAAGGTGAATCAGAAAGTCTAAATTGCCTGTAGGTGTGAATGTGTTTGTCATTCTGTTTGCCCTGTGAGGCCGTCAGACTGTCCTGGGTCCTGCCCAGTGGACGTTGGGATCGGTTTCATCTCCCAATGACCTTGAACACATCTGCTATTTTGTTTTCTATCCAGCTGTTTTAAATATTGCATGTGTGATGCAAATGACTTAAAATTCTGCACAGACAACACACTGTACTGTTTATTTTATGAAGACAAAGAGAGTTTGTGTTCTGTTGTGGCCAGAAGCATGAAGTTGTTAGGTTTTAAAGTGGACACGACCCTCTTTCTCTTCTATTCTTCTGTCTCTGTGTTGAGGCAAGAAGAGTTTTCTCATAAAAAATCTGATTGTTGGCAAAGAGTCTCAGTCTGCATCTCCCTAGCTTCGAGCTTCAACTCGCATTTTAGTGGAATTTTACTTCATGGTTCTCCATTTGCTGGAAAGGAGGTCATCATATTCCATCTCTGCCTTAAACTGAATGGCCTGCTCGTGCGTACACAAAACCTACTACCGCCTGGAACATTTCTCCACTTTCTCCACCAGCCTTCTGCTCATGGGAAAATACCCTTTTCTCTTAGAGCAACTTCGAGGAGCAGCTCCTCACTTCTTGATAAGCTGCGTTTTGTAGTATTTTCGGCTTTTTTTCCATTTTTTGTAGAGGGCCTCCTCCTCTTTACAGATCTTGAGCTAGATAGCTCGCTGCAGAGCTTCTCCTCATCTGCTTCATTGAGCTCTTGCTGAATTGTCTCATCCATTTCTGCAAAGTGGAGGCGGCTCAAGTTTGCAGTCAGTAGTTTCATTCGTAGTTGCAACTCTGACTCACTGACTGAACTGTGGATACAATATTTTATTCTGTGGCCACTTCTATTTCATGATTTTCCTCTGTGTACCAGAAATGTATGTGAGCATGCAATAGATATTCTATATTTTGTCGTGTTAGATCTGTTTAGCCTGGAACTACAAAGAAATGAGAAAGCTGTCCGTGCAGGTAGCTGTCCTATTCTGACGTCACTGATGTCCACCGTCAGGTTGAAACATCCTTC